GTGTGTGTGTGTGTTTGTGTTTACCTGTGTGTGTGTGTGTGTTTACCTGTGTGTGTGTGTGTGTGTGTGTGTTTGTGTTTACCTGTGTGTGTGTGTGTGTGTTTGTATGCGCAGACTCAGCTCAGTGTGTTGTGGCGTCCGCCTGATGGAGAGAAAGACGTTCCTATTGGCTACATCGTCCTGTCAATCATCTCTGGACTCCTCCTCCTGAGCGTGCTCTGTTTTGTTTTCTGGAAGGTAACGATGAATCAGTATGTAGTGATCAGCCAGTTAATCATTTCAGAAAGTGTTGATTAATAATAAATTAATTATTCTGTGTCATTAGCGTGTTTCCCTCCTCACCTGAAACATGATGTTTAATAACAGATGAGATATTTAATTGCATTATCAGTAACCCGTCAATAATGGTCACTAACAATGATCACGTGTAAGCGGGTGGTGCAGCCGGGTCGCCTGCCGAACTGAAGGAATAATGGCTGTGAGGTCAATCGGGTTCGACTTTTTGCTCCCTGACTGAACGCCATGGCGTGCTATCGACCCAGAGGTGGTTATAAAGTCCGTTTCCTCAGCTGTCTCAGTTTGAGCTTCAGGTTAATGTGACTGACTGTAAGTGAAAGGCACCCTGGGAGTTGTAGTTGGCTTCCTTTTAATCAGAGCAGCAGATCATGCTCTACCACATCTTTAAGAGTTTGATGTTGATCCAGGCTGATTCAGGCTGATCCCTGGCGGTCCTGAGGTCAGCTGGGATCAGGAAGAGACGCTAGAACGGCCCATTTCTGAAGGAGTCTGCTCTCTGTCTGTCTGTCTGTGTGTAGCTGGGCTTCTTTAAGCGTACCCGCCCCCCCTCTGATGAGGATGATGACGACCATGATGAAGAGCAGCGGCTGGCTGAGGAATCACATGACTGAGTAACACTCACAGGTCACATGACGATGAGCCGTGACGTCTTCATCGACTGATGTTTGTCACATGTTGTTTTTCCTGTTGAAAGTGATCAGTAACCAGCTTCATGAAATTTCACATTGTTGTTGTTGTTTATTTACACATGAAGTCTGTTTCAGTCAAGTCATTTGTTTTTGTTCCATCTCAGCTGTTGTTGTTGTGATAAATGTAACATGGAAACATAATTTAATAAATGAAACAGACACATCTGTGTGACGCTTTGATCGCCTCCTTTTTCTGTGGTTTTCAGGATTCAACCACAGCACTTTTCATAAAAGAGCAGGTCTAGACCGTACTCTATGATGCTATTTACAGAAGCCCAACAGTTCCCACCAAGAGCAGCACTGGGAGACAGCGGCAAGGAAAAACTTCCTTTAAGAGGCAGAAACCTCGAGCAGAACCATGACTCAGGGTGGGCGACCATCTGCCTCCACCGGTTGGAGAGGGATGTAAGGAGAGAGAGAGGGAGGGGGAGGGAGGGAGAGGGAGAGAGAGAGAGACAGAGAGAGAGAGAGGGGAGGGAGGCAGCCTACACAATATACACACAGAGGTACAGACAGTAAAGGTAATGTTGCTATAGACTGAATGAAAAATGGTACAGATATTTATAATAGTGTTAATGGTAACCATCGTAATGTTAATGATTATAATAACAATAATAACAATAAGACTAGCAACAATAGTCGTTGCAGCAGAGGGTGTCGAGCAGGAACACGGGGGCAGCAGGTGACCCGCAACCACAGATCCAGACTCCACAGCTCCAGAGCCAGAAACACCTGCAGGAAGTGACAGGAGAGAGGAGAGGGACGAGAAAGCACAAGACTACCAGAAAGGGGAGAAGTTGTGTTAGTAACATTCAATAATGGGATAAGGTTGCATACAGAGGGAGAGAAAGTAGAGGAGAGAGGAGCTCAGTGCATCATGGGAAATCCCCCGGCAGTCTAGGCCTATAGCAGCATAACTAAGCCTGACCATTAAGAGCTTTGTAGGTAAGAAGAATGATTTTAAATTCTATTCTGGATTTTACTGGAAGCCAATGCAAAGAAGCTAAAACAGGAGAAATATTGCAATAAGGAGGTCGTTAGTAATTTTCACCAGTGCTGTCTCTGTGCTATGATGAGCTCTAAATCCTGACTGAAAATCCTCAAATAAACTATTGCTCTGTAGAAAGTCACACAGCTGTTTAGCAACTGCTTTCTCCAGAACCTTAGAGAGAAATGGAAGGTTAGATATAGGTCTATAGTTGGCTAAAACATCCGGATCAAGTTTGGGCTTTTTCAGAAGAGGTTTAATTACAGCTACTTTAAAGTACTGTGGTACATAGCCTGTTGATAAAGATAGATTGATCATATCTAGTATAGAGGTGCTGACTAAGGGTAAAACATCTTTAAGCAGCCTAGTCGGGATGGGGTCTAAGAGGCAGGTTGATGGTTTAGATGAAGAAATTATTGAAGTTAGTTGGTAAAGATTGAGGGAAGCAAAACAGTCTAAACATGTATCTGGTTCTACAGCTGTTTCTAAGGTTCCTGAGTTTAGAGATAAGTCGGTGCCAATTTTGTTTCTAATAGCTAGAATTTTATCATTAAAGAAGCTCATGAAGTCGTAACTACTGAGAGCTATGGGAATACTTGGCTCAATAGAGCTGTGACTCTCTGTCAGCCTGGCTACAGTGCTGAAAAGAAACCTGGGGTTGTTCCTATTTTCCTCTATTAATGACGAGTAGTACGCTGCTCTGGCATTACGGAGGGCCTTCCTATAAGTTTTAAGACTATCTTGCCAAATTAAACGAGAATTTTCCAGTTTGGTGGAACGCCAATTCCTCTCAAGTTTCCGTGATATTTGCTTTAATTTGCGAGTTTCAGTATTATACCATGGAGCTAACCGTCTTTGTTTTAGTATTTTCTTTTTTAGAGGGGCTACAGAGTCGAGTGTCATTCGCAGCGAGCCTGCAGCACTATCAACAAGATGATCGATTTGGGAGGGACTGAAATTAGCATAGGAGTCCTCCGTTACTTTGTGACTAGATAATGAATTTAGAGCTGATGGAATCGCATCCTTAAATTTAGCTACAGCACTATCAGACAGACATCTTGTATAGAAATTTTTGCCCCATGGCGAGTAGTTCAGCAATACAAACTCAAAAGTTATCAAACAGTGGTCGGACAAAGAGGGATTCTGTGGGAACACCACTAAATGTTCAATTTCAATACCATACACCAAAACAAGGTCGAGGGTGTGGTTAAAACAGTGAGTCGGTTCATGAACACTCTGAGAGAAGCCGATGGAATCTAACAGAGAGATAAACGCAGTACTGAAGCTGTCATTCTCAACATCCACATGAATATTAAAATCTCCTACAATAATAACTTTGTCCGTTTTAAGGACTAAAGTTGACAAAAACTCTGCAAATTCAGATAAGAATTCAGAGTACGGGCCAGGTGTTCGGTACACTATAACAAAAAGAATTGGTTGCAGTGATTTCCAACTTGGGTGCGAAAGACTAAGAACAAGACTTTCAAATGAGTTATAGTTTAGTTTAGGTTTAGAGCTGATTAATAGGCTAGAGTCGAAGATAGCTGCAACTCCACCTCCTCGGCCTGTGCCTCGAGGAATGTGAGTATTAATATGACTGGGAGGGGTGGATTCATTTAGGCTAACATATTCTCCATCACCCAGCCAGGTTTCAGTAAGACAAAATAAATCAATATCATAATCTGATATTAGTTCATTTACTAGTACACCTTTAGAAGAGAGAGATCTGATGTTTAAGAGTCCACATTTAACTCTCCTATTTGTTTGCACTATTGCTCTTGTGGTTTTAATTTTTATGAGGTTTTCATGCACAGCTCCTCTTCTGTTTAACTTTGATTTAAATAATTTCGATGGTCGGGGGACAGACACCGTCACTATAGGATTTTCACTAAGTAACTCCTGAAATGGAGGAGCAGAGAAGTGTGTTAAACTGCGACTCTGCCTCCTGGTCTCAACTCTGGGTTGTCATGGATTTGGTCCACTAATAAACTTGGCCAGATTTTTAGAAATGAGAGCTGCTCCTTCCCAAGTGGGATGGATGCCGGAAATGAGTCAACACACGTACATCAGCACATCCTTAGGATGTGATAATTGTTACCGCCTGCCATAGTGTACGCTGGGGACGCCAGGGACAAAGTGTCCCCGTCACTTTGTGAAAGCATTTGTTAAACATTTTCTGAAAAACAGCAACAACAAATATTAAGTAACAAAGGAAATGTTTATTTGCACAATAAGAAAATATCCGTCATCCAACAAACAGTTTAAAAACATAACTTCATCTAAAAAACAAGCAGTTGGCTTTATTTTATATTTTCACCTGCCGCCTGAATTCCGTTTCCCTTTGTATAAATAAAAACATTTCCACCTTAAACAAGTGCAGGAAATTAAGTGTTTAATGCTCTTTTCTTTAAAATAGTGTTAAAATATCTTCTCATCACGTCCCGTGATCTGGTGTCCAACACACGCCGGCGCCCTGACCTCCTGGAGGGGTGTTTGACCCCCCCCCCAACATCGGACCGAAGAACACCCTCAGTCTGGCCTGCAGCAGCCCCTCCAAGACCAGACTCTGGGCCCAGTTCCTGCCCGTCAGTCAGATGGAGAGGGACAGAAGGTAAAAACATGTTTACTGGTTGTTTTTTCTTGATTATATATCACTCCAGCTATTTAATCATTCATGTTTACACATTAATAAACACTTCATAATAGTCTCTTATAGAAATGAAGTTTTAGTTCAATAAAAAACAGGTTTTAAGAGAAATAATCTGAACACGTCTGAAATATCAAAATAATAATGTATGTTCAGCCTGACAGACACGACTGAGGGCTGAACATCCTTTTGCCTCTCAGACAGGCTGACCCCGCCTGCTTCACTGTGATTGGAGGACTCCACCCCCTAACATTCAAAATGAAAACCAACACAGGTCTGTGACTGGTGGAGCTGGTTGGACCTCAGCCTGAGAGACGCAGCTCAGGGTGAGAAAAACCCTGCGAGCTCTCATGGGGATGAAGAGGATTAGAGCAGATTACACAAGAGCAGAGAAGAAGAAGAGGGCGCAGAAGAGACCGGTATAAGGACCAGTACAGGGACCAGTACAGGAACCCACAAAATCCAGGACCAGCTGGACCCAACTGGACCCAACTGGACAAAACTGGACCCAACTGGACCAAATTGGACCCAACTGGACCAGACTGGACCAACTGGACTCTGAGTAGAATCTAACTGGACTGAGCTGAGAGGTTAAGGGTAGGCTGAGCTGGTCCATTCTGGTCCATACTGGTCCTTAGTGGTCTGAGCTGGTCTTTGGAACAGGAAGTGGTCTGGATGGACGGGTTTCAGGCGTATGGGGCAGGGAAGGCGGGCGGAGCCTTCGACCCGCTGACCTTCATCAGACAGCCTCAGACCGTGGTCAGGATCCTCTGCTGGGTGAGTCTGATGATGTCATGATGATGTCATGATGATGTCATGCGTTTCGGGTGAGTCCAGGTGTTCTGAGCTACGCGTCCTGACGTAGTGACGACCCACAGGGTTGCTATGCGCTAACATGTGTGGTTGTGTAGTTACTGGACCTGTTCTGTTACTGGTTCTGTTCACAGGTGTCTGGGTCTCTGCCAGGTTAGTTTGTGGTTAGCAGCGGGTCCTTTACTTTCAGCTCAGTCTGCCTGAATTGGTTCTGGTTCTGGTTTCAGCTCAGTCTGATTCAGTTGGTTCTGGTTCTGGTTTCAGCTCAGTCTGATTCAGTTGGTTCTGGTTCTGGTTTTGGTTTAATTTGTTAGTTTATTCTGTGTGAGTTTGTTTCCAGTTTTGTTAGCTCAGGTTAGTTCATGTGTTGGTTCTGGTTCTGGATTAGCTGAGGTTAGTTCATATGTTGGTTCTGGTTCTGGTTTAGTTGAGGTTAGTTCATGTGTTGGTTCTGGTTCTGGATTAGCTGAGGTTAGTTCATGTGTTGGTTCTGGTTCTGGTTTAGCTGAGGGTAGTTCATATGTTGGTTTTGGTATAGCTCAGGCTAGTTCATGTGTTGGTTCAGGTTCTGGTTTAGTTAAGGTTAGTTCATGTGTTGGTTCTGGTTCTGGTTTAGCTCAGCCTAGTTCATATGTTGGTTTTGGTTCTGGTTTAGTTGAGGTTAGTTCATGTGTTGGTTCTGGTTTTGGATTAGCTGAGGTTAGTTCATATGTTGGTTCTGGTTCTGGATTAGCTGAGGTTAGTTCATGTGTTGGTTCTGGTTCTGGTTTAGTTGAGGTTAGTTCATGTGTTGGTTCTGGTTCTGGTTTAGCTGAGGATAGTTCATATGTTGGTTTTGGTATAGCTCAGGCTAGTTCATGTGTTGGTTCAGGTTCTGGTTTAGTTAAGGTTAGTTCATGTGTTGGTTCTGGTTCTGGTTTAGCTCAGCCTAGTTCATATGTTGGTTTTGGTATAGCTCAGGTTAGTTCATGTGTTGGTTCTGGTTCTGGATTAGCTGAGGTTAGTTCATATGTTGGTTCTGGTTCTGGTTTAGTTGAGGTTAGTTCATGTGTTGGTTCTGGTTCTGGATTAGCTGAGGTTAGTTCATGTGTTGGTTCAGGTTCTGGTTTAGTTGAGGTTAGTTCATGTGTTGGTTCTGGTTCTGGATTAGCTGAGGATAATTCATGTGCTGGTTCTGGTTCTGGTTTAGTTGAGGTTAGGTCATGTGTTAGTTCTGGTTCTGGTTTAGTTGAGGTTAGTTCATGTGTTGGTTCTGGTTCTGGATTAGCTGAGGATAATTCATGTGTTGGTTCTGGTTCTGGTTTAGTTGAGGTTAGTTCATGTGTTGGTTCTGGTTCTGGATTAGCTGAGGATAATTCATGTGTTGGTTCTGGTTCTGGTTTAGTTGAGGTTAGGTCATGTGTTAGTTGTAGTTCTGGATTATTAGAGGTTAGTTTGTGTGTTGGTTCTGGTTCTGGTTTGGTACACGATAAGGTTCAGGGTCTGGAGACCTCTGGGGACACATCTCAGACTCAGTTAACTAAGGCCTGTTTGTCCAAGTGATCCGGGTCCCTAAATGGGAAAAAGCAGATTACAGGTCTGTGGTTAAAGTCCGGGTCCAGGACCTAGAAGTGAATGTGATGACCTAATGTGTGTGTGTGTGTCATGAGACTGGCGTTAACATTCCTGAGGCTCAACACAAGACTCTTGTAACAGACCCTCACTGTTTACACTGCTGAGGCTCTGATTGGTCGGTTTACAGAGGAGACAGTGTGCTCTGATTGGTCGGTTTACAGAGGAGACAGTGTGCTGCGATTGGTCCGTTTACAGAGGAGACAGTGTGCTGCGATTGGTCAGTTTACAGAGGAGACAGTGTGCTCTGATTGGTCAGTTTACAGGGGAGACAGTGTGCTCTGATTGGTCTGTTTACAGAGGAGACAGTGTGCTCTGATTGGTCGGTTTACAGAGGAGACAGTGTGCTTTCATTTGTCCGTTTACAGAGGAGACAGTGTGCTCTGATTGGTCAGTTTACAGGGGAGACAGTGTGCTCTGATTGGTCAGTTTACAGAGGAGACAGTGTGCTCTGATTGGTCAGTTTACAGGGGAGACAGTGTGCTCTGATTGGTCTGTTTACAGAGGAGACAGTGTGCTCTGATTGGTCGGTTTACAGAGGAGACAGTGTGCTCTGAATGGTTTGTTTACAGAGGAGACAGTGTGCTTTCATTTGTCCGTTTACAGAGGAGACAGTATGCTCTGATTGGTCGGTTTAGAGAGGAGACACTGTGCTTTGATTGGTCCGTTTACAGAGGAGACAGTGTGCTGTGATTCGTCGTTTTAAGGAGGAGACAGTGTGCTGTGATTGGTCCGTTTACGGAGGAGACAGTGTGCTGTGATTGGTCTGTTTACAGAGGAGACAGTGTGCTGCGATTGGTCTGTTTACAGAGGAGACAGTGTGCTTTAATTGGTCCGTTTACAGAGGAAACAGTGTGCTGTGATTTGTCGGTTTACAGAGGAGACAGTGTGCTGTGATTTGTCGGTTTACAGAGGAGACAGTGTGCTGTGATTGGTCCGTTTACAGAGGAGACAGTGTGCTGTGATTCGTCGTTTTAAGGAGGAGACAGTGTGCTGTGATTGGTCCGTTTACGGAGGAGACAGTGTGCTGTGATTCATCGGTTTACAGAGGAGACAGTGTGCTGCGATTCGTCGTTTTAAGGAGGAGACACTGTGCTGTGATTGGTCCGTTTACAGAGGAGACAGTGTGCTCTGATTGGTCTGTTTACAGAGGAGACAGTGTGCTGTGATTGGTCCGTTTACAGAGGAGAAAGTGTGCTCTGATTGGTCGGTTTACAGAGGAGACAATGTGCTGTGATTGGTCGGTTTACAGAGGAGAATATATGCTCTGATTGGCTGGTTTACAGAGGAGACAGTGTGCTTCGATTGGTCGGTTTACAGAGGAGACAATATGCTCTGATTGGTCGGTTTACAAAGGAGACAGTGTGCTGTGATTGGTCTGTTTTACGGAGGAGACAGTGTGCTGTGATTGGTCGGTTTACAGAGGAGACAGTGTGCTGTGATTGGTCTGTTTACGGAGGAGACAGTGTGCTTTATATTTGTCCGTTTACAGAGGAGACAGTGTGCTGTAATTGGTCGGTTTACAGAGGAGACAGTGTGCTGTGATTGGTCTGTTTACGGAGGAGACAGTGTGCTGTGATTGGTCTGTTACAGAGGAGACAGTGTGCTTTATATTTGTCCGTTTACAGAGGAGACACTGTGCTGTGATTGGTCTGTTTACAGAGGAGACAGTATGCTCTGATTGGTTGGTTTACAGAGGAGACAGTGTGCTCTGATTGGTCGGTTTACAGAGGAGACAGTGTGCTTTAATTTGTCCGTTTACAGAGGAGACAGTGTGCTGTGATTGGTCGGTTTACAGAGGAGACGGTATGCTCTGATTGGTCGGTTTACAGAGGAGACAGTGTGCTTTCATTTGTCCGTTTACAGAGGAGACAATATGCTCTGATTGGTCGGTTTACAGAGGAGACAGTATGCTTTAATTGGTCGGTTTACAGAGGAGACAGTGTGCTTTCATTTGTCCGTTTACAGAGGAGACAGTGTGCTCTGATTGGTCGGTTTACAGAGGAGACAGTGTGCTTTAATTGGTCCGTTTACAGAGGAGACAGTGTGCTCTGATTCGTCGGTTTACAGAGGAGACAGTGTGCTGCGATTCGTCGTTTTAAGGAGGAGACAGTGTGCTGTGATTGGTCCGTTTACAGAGGAGACAGTGTGCTGTGATTCGTCGGTTTACAGAGGAGACAGTGTGCTGCGATTCATCGTTTTAAGGAGGAGACAGTGTGCTGTGATTGGTCTGTTTACAGAGGAGACAGTGTGCTGTGATTTGTCGGTTTACAGAGCAGACAGTGTGCTGCGATTCGTCGTTTTACAGAGGAGACAGTGTGCTGTGATTGGTCCGTTTACGGAGGAGACAGTGTGCTGTGATTGGTCTGTTTACGGAAGAGACAGTGTGCTGCGATTCGTCGTTTTAAGGAGGAGACAGTGTGCTGTGATTGGTCCGTTTACGGAGGAGACAGTGTGCTCTGATTCGTCGGTTTACAGAGGAGACAGTGTGCTGCGATTCGTCGTTTTAAGGAGGAGACAGTGTGCTGTGATTGGTCCGTTTACAGAGGAGACAGTGTGCTGTGATTCGTCGGTTTACAGAGGAGACAGTGTGCTGCGATTCGTCGTTTTAAGGAGGAGACAGTGTGCTTTGATTGGTCGGTTTACAGAGGAGACAGTGTGCTGCGATTCGTCGTTTTAAGGAGGAGACAGTGTGCTTTGATTGGTCGGTTTACAGAGGAGACAGTGTGCTGTGATTTGTCGGTTTACAGAGGAGACAGTGTGCTCTGATTCGTCGTTTTAAGGAGGAGACAGTGTGCTGTGATTGGTCCGTTTACGGAGGAGACAGTGTGCTGTGATTGGTCTGTTTACAGAGGAGACAGTGTGCTCTGATTGGTCAGTTTACAGGGGAGACAGTGTGCTCTGATTGGTCTGTTTACAGAGGAGACAGTGTGCTCTGATTGGTCGGTTTACAGAGGAGACAGTGTGCTTTCATTTGTCCGTTTACAGAGGAGACAGTGTGCTCTGATTGGTCAGTTTACAGGGGAGACAGTGTGCTCTGATTGGTCTGTTTACAGAGGAGAAAGTGTGCTCTGATTGGTCAGTTTACAGGGGAGACAGTGTGCTCTGATTGGTCTGTTTACAGAGGAGACAGTGTGCTCTGATTGGTCGGTTTACAGAGGAGACAGTGTGCTCTGAATGGTTTGTTTACAGAGGAGACAGTGTGCTTTCATTTGTCCGTTTACAGAGGAGACAGTATGCTCTGATTGGTCGGTTTAGAGAGGAGACACTGTGCTTTGATTGGTCCGTTTACAGAGGAGACAGTGTGCTGTGATTCGTCGTTTTAAGGAGGAGACAGTGTGCTGTGATTGGTC